CAAATCATCTTTAGATTTATCACATTCTTTCTAGATGCTTGCACCCTATAATATCAGCTAGCATGCTCATATATGTATAAGACTGTTCACATAGATACGTCAACATATAAGCTTCTCAAATAACTTAACAAGCAATTTATGCTTACGGATAAGATCATGCTAAAAGACCATATAACAGGTGTTCACATGCTTTCACATTCTTAACACATAACTTGATAAGTAGAGCTTCTAGTACAACAAGATAATCATGCTCAAAGGAATATCTTAAGTCAAACTTCTCGTTATAAAATCTCATACGATACTCTACTCGCATGCAATCACGTATAACACTATAATCATACTTCTTATGCAATCTCATGCAATACTATATACATTCTCATATGCAATCTCGTGCAATTATATACTCATACTCATATGCAAACTCATGCAACAATATAATCATACTCTTATGCAATCTAGTGCAATAATATACTCATGCTCATATGCAATCTAGTGCAACATTATAATCATACTCTTTATGCAATCTAGTGCAATAATATACTCATACTCATATGCAATCTCGTGCAACAATATAATCATACTTTTATGCAATCTAGTGCAATAATATACTCATGCTCATATGCAATCTCGTGCAACAATATAATCATACTTTTATGCAATCTAGTGCAATAATATACTCATACCCATACACTCTTTTATAAAATAGAGTACTTTCTGTGGATGTCTCTTTGTTACTTTCTCGAGTCTCTCTTGACTCTCTTTCTTTCTCTTGAGTCTTTATTGACTCTCTTTCTTGAGTCTTTGTTGACTCTCTTTCTTGAGTCTCTGTTGGCTCTCTTTCTTGAGTCTCTGTTGACTCTCTTTCTTTCTCTTATACTCGTAGACGGCTTAGGGTTTCACAGAAGTGTGAATTACCCCATCGGGAACGGCATAAATCCGACCCAATATCTCCTACCGTCTACAGAACCAATCTCGTGGTTCAAACTCTGTGGAATCAGGTATCGAACTATTAGTGTGATGCCGACCCAATATCTCCTACCGTCTACAGAACCAATCTCGTGGTTCAAACTCTGTGGAATCAGGTATCGAACTATTAGTGTGCACACCTCCTAACCAGGATTCCAAGCCCCGCGGGAAGTTTCCAACCTCGTAACTTGGGAATACGCCGCGTTACATATACTGGGACCGCAATGTCTATAAATATCTCCCGAGAGGACATAGTCCAAACGGTATCCTCCAAAACCTCACAGATATAGATAATACATAAATATATCTCTCATGCATTTAACAATTCTACTACTTCTCAATGCATCAAAGAATGATATACCACATGCTTATGGTTTTTGAAAGTATTCTTGGGCTCACGTTGGCCCCTTATGCATTTTGAAATATGACACATGTGAAATGCCAAATGCTCTATATCATGATTCTAAATCATGTATAAACTAACATGGAGTACTCAAGAATATAATTTCATGCTTGGTTTGCAACATAGCAAGTTCTATACATTCTAGTAACAACATATGCTTCATTTCTCATGGATCGAATATCTCAAACTAGTCACGCTTTCATAATAAATCAAATTCTCAAATGATCACGCTTCTATACTCAATAAAAAAATCATCTGATCACATAACCAAATATTTCTCATACATAGTGAACTAAGCAAATATATACTTTGTGTAGCAATTCTTCACAATTTCCTTCATTACATACTCGTTTTTAATCAAAGTTCAACGAAATCAAAGCCACAACGTGCGTCGAAATGATCCCGAAGAGCCGAGCCACAAGGGCCCGTAACACTCGGTCCGAAACGACACGTAGCTGAGCCACAAGGGCCCGGCCACGGCATAAAATCCTTCTCAGAACAAACTCAGGGACCTGGGGCGGGACTCCTCATGGTTCGCCCCATGAAGCCCGTTAAAACACCGAGACTAGGCAACGGCCCTCCTCTAGGGTCGTGCCCTAGTCCCGTGCCACTACGGCTTAGCCGGCGGTCCCCTTTATGGGTCGCGGCTAGGGTCGTCCATCTGATCTGGTGCACACTGTATTGTGCACCAAATGGTTTTTCATATGCAAAAACTAATCTAAACAAGTCCAAAACAATCTCAACAACTCACAAACAATTACTAAATCACTTCTAAGTATGAACACATCAAAAACTCATAGTTTCTACTCATTTCTACTCATAACTAAGGCTTCACAGAGCCAAATTTAAAGAGGAATCCATGGGGTTATACCTCTTGTAGTCTCTTCTTCTTGCTTGGATTTCAGCCCCACTTCACTCAAGGATCTCTACTTCTTTCACCACCTAAACATCTCAAACAACCACACAAGGCCTAAGTCTTAAATTTTAAGAAGAGATGATGTTGCAGAGAAACTTAGAGAAGGAAGAAATGAATAGAGGAAGAAAACTTACTGCTATGGTGTTGACAGCCAAGGAAGAGATCAGGAGAAGATGATGCCAACACTATTCTATTTATAAGGGTTCAAAACCCTAGGATGATTCACAATGATTGGTTGAGGGCAAAGGAGTAATTCCATAAGCTAAAAGATGAATCAGGAAGAGATTTTTGGATGTCTAGTGGTCCACCATGCAACATGAACCATAGGCTAGAAATGCTATCTTTAAATACTTTGGGGTTGAAAGTGAATTTTCTCAAAAGCTATTTGGATGAACACTTGTTTAAAATCCTTTTTGAATTCTCCCGGTCTCACTCAGATAAATTTCTCGATTTCAATCTTGGTACGCGAAGTACCCAAAAACTTAGAAATTTTTGAATAGAATCCATTTTTGGTGTCGAATTAATTTAAAATGCGACGAAAATATTTTATTCAAACACCGATTGATCGCAAAAATTTTTAATGGAGTGAAAAAAGCTATTTTGGAATTTCTTAATACCGGATTTATAAAATAAAATTTTGGGTTGTTACAGATTATCCCTCGGGAACTAAGCGTATACGATGGTCGGTACTGGGTCGCTAAGCCGTGATGACCGTGGGCCGACCTCCGCCAACCATGGTTGTGGAGTCGTCCCGACAGTATGTTCGCCAAGTAGTTGCCTCTACCGCGCCACGAGTGGGTAGTGCTCTTGGCATCTACCCGACCTAACAAGGTCGGGAACTCACTGCCGACCTGCACCCGACAGCTACCGTTAGCCTACAGAGATATTTCATCACATGTACGAATCCCTTGGAATCCCGGCCTGACCTAGTGCATGAGCTCCACGTGCCTTTCATGCCGCAAGGTCGGAACCTGTCCCCTCCCAGCAACTATAAATACCACATTTATTGTGAGGAAGTGGACTTTTGGAAGCATTTATGACACCACAACCTTTAGTTTGGGAACCTCTAACCCACTGTTACGTTGGCCGAGCTTAAAGGCTTAAACCAACAAGCAGACTAGGAATAGGTACCGAGCCCGGTTCGACCTAGGATTGCACACCGTATAGTAGACCGCACGCACACATATTTACTATATCACTTTCTAAAGCCATCCCAATAAGGGAATTTTGCACAGATTTAAAAAAAAATGATGTGTTGGAGGAGAGAGGATAGATGAGAGAGAATGATGGGGTTGTTATGGCATCCCCATTAGATGGGTCTTCACCAAGTTTTAGGACAACAAAATCACATGGAGGAGATTTTCACAAATGGAAGGTGGAGACTTTGGTCAAACTTTTCTCTTGCAATATGGAGGTTTTTGTGGGCCCAATAACATAGAGAAAGTGAAAGAGAAGGCTGGAAAGTCGTGCGTGGAGCAATGGATGGCGCCAAGGCATCAGACTTCCTGACTTTTTTATGGAGGCGTCAGGTTTTTTAATTTCTTTTTATTTTTTTTTCTTCTTCTCCTTCCCCATCTCTCTCCTAGTTGGCACCTAAAAAATTACACCAAAATCCTCACTATTGAGGATGCCCTAAGGTTTATTGAATTGTATAGTATAGAAGCTCACTCTCGGGCGTAGGGGGAGGGGGTGCAAATCAAATCCCAAAATGAGTTTGTAAAGGCTTGACTCATGTACGCTGGCACCTGCGGGCACGAATGCCGTCCGAAAAATTGGCTGGTCTTGCCGGCTAAGTTATGCCAAATTTTCATATAATTTTTCCAACATAGAGCCACTCGGCTAAGGCTGCTAGCTAACCACTAGCTCGGCTCGATTGTGGTAGTGGGCTGCTACCATTATGTCAACTCGAGTTTGACCGAATCATTGCCCACTCGTACCATTCGGTTAGCTCGGGTTCGATCGAATGGTTAACCACTCGTAACCTCTCGAGTTTCTCGTCTCATCTCGTAAGTACGACTCGGGTAGCGATCGTTCTGTGTTTTAATTCATCAATTACATCAGTTACGCAATTAATCTTGAATTAATTCCAATTTTGAATTATAGATTTAATACTCAGGTAATGGTCAGCTGTTACAAGGGTTTCAATGGCTGATTTATTATCAGTTTTAATGCCATTGTTTAATGTTATTAATTCATCTTCTCCTATATAAAGTTGTAGTTGAGCAGGTGATTTTTACAAGCAAGAAATCACACGTTTTTATCACTCGAAACCCTGTTATTCCTTTTCCTTCAACCTCCTTTGCTCTTTCAAGCTCTAGTTTGCCGGGTTCTAAGTTTGAGTGCTCAAAACTTAGAATTGTAGTACGTTTTATTTTGGAAAACCTAGGCTGCAACGCTCTTAGCACCTTTGGGAGGCAGCAAATAATTTTAAGGAGAGAGTGCAATTTGACTCGTACTAAAAACCTATCCCATAATCCATTTCGTTCTTGTGGTTGTTCGTCCCAAAAATTTCATGTTTTCCAACCAAAAAAAAAAAAAAAAAAAACCTTTTTCTTAGGATTATTATTGCATTTTCCCACATTGTTTACAAGTTACAACAATTTATTCATACTACTCGAGTTTTAGATTAGTTTTTCAACTTTTCATTTACAACTTGTGTAATTAAGCAAGACGAGGCAGCCAAGCCTGCCGGTTTGATACTTGACAGTGACGCACTTACCGCACTGACGCCCCTAAGGCTTACTATTTTTCGCAACTCAAACCCCAAAAGCCCTAATCGGCTAATCTCCCTCTTTGCTCTTTCATTTTCTTCACCACCATGCGCTGCCTCATTACGCGCAAGCTCTGGAATGGGCTCTCTGCCGCTGCCTCTCTGAGAGCTCCACCGCTTTGCGGCCAAATTCAGGCGCGTTACAGTTCTCGGCGGTGGTATGGACTGGTTCCGATGGTAATAGAGCACTCCTCTCGAGGGGAGAGAGCCTACGACATATTCTCGAGGCTTCTCAAGGAGCGCATAATCTGCATCAATGGTCCCATCAATGACGACACGTCCCACGTCGTTGTCGCTCAGCTCCTCTTTCTCGAGTCCGAGAACCCCTCCAAGCCCATCCATATGTACCTCAATTCTCCTGGCGGCGCTGTCACCGCCGGTCAGTTTTTCTTCTGTTGTTTTCAATTAGGGTTGAATTTCAATTTTTTTTCTTCTAATTCTGTTGTGGAAAGTAATGTACAGTAATGGAGATTTTTTTTTTTTTTTTTCCCACTATTATTGTTTGCTTGTAATTTAATTGAACTGAAACATATATACTATGTAAAGATTTAGTGTCCATATGATTACCGTTGCCTGTAGAGGTAACTAAAATGTTTTAGCCATTATGTCAATGAAGAGTGAGATTGAACTTTTTTTTTTTTCCTTGCAGGTCTTGCTATATATGATACTATGCAGTACATTCGATCTCCCATCAACACCATATGCCTAGGTCAGGCAGCATCAATGGGATCTCTACTTCTAGCTGCTGGAGCCAAGGGTCAGAGACGTTCTCTCCCTAATGCAACAATTATGATTCATCAGCCTTCTGGTGGATACAGTGGACAGGCTAAAGATATGACAATTCACACAAAACAAATTGTTCGGGTTTGGGATGCTCTAAATGAATTATACTCAAAACATACCGGGCAATCAGTAGATATAATTCAGAAAAATATGGATAGAGATTATTTCATGACCCCTGAGGAGGCAAAAGAATTTGGGATAATTGATGAAGTTATAGATCAAAGACCTTTGTCTCTTGTGACTGATGCTATTGCACAAGAGGACAAAGATAAGAGTTCAAACTAGAAGTCAAGGTAATATTAATTTTCCAATTATAGACTCAAGATTCAACTTTTTATTTGTTTCTACACCTTTGTTGCATAATCGAGCCAACAACTATTTTTACTAACTTATTTATTTTGATCAAGAAAAAGCCAATGACTATTATTTGTTTGTATGCTGAGTTTTCATTTTATTAGCTTTTATTTCAATATGAATTTACAACCGTGTTTAATTGAAGTGAGGTTAGTAATATATAGAAAATTTTTGTATGATCCCAGAGCAAGTTTAGAACTTTTTCTTGGATTACTTGATGTGTGCATAGCTAGTGCATGTAGACATGTAGTTGCCCACATATTCTCAGTGAACTGTACACAAGAAAATTTCTCACTTGTTCTGGGACTACAGTGAAGTTTCTCTTATATATTACTCCGTATCTTAATGATCATATTATAATTACTGCATGCCCATTTATTTTCTAATAAGGATCATATCAAGTTTTATGGGCCCTCCTGGTTTGTATATTTTTTGAAATCATCATCTCTTCAATTTTATTGCAATTGTCTACTTCTCTTTTCATTTTGCTTCAAACTGTTGTTTGCATAGAAAATAAGGAAAAGAAGTGTAAGTATTTAATATTGGATGCAGAATCATTTCTCTGGGGAAATAACACACATAAGTTGATATATTATGAACACAATGAGGACTGTCTTGGAAATTTTTGTTACAAAGGAGGCTTAAGAGGGTATGAGAATATCACTTAATTTCTCTAACTCAAATCACTAAAAGCAATATGCTGGCCCTTGGTGCTTGGGTCTGGTAAGAGGGATGGAGTCAAAAGGCAAATGTGATTGTTGTTGGTTCAAAATCTTTTTACCTTAAAATTTTAGTTCATGAATAATGGAGATGTAAATAGTAGCACAAGTTAACAATTATAATATATATATATATATATATATATATATATATATATATATATATATATATATTACAGATCTTCAATATTGAAAACTGAAGAATGTTTTTGATTATGATGTGTCAAACTGTCAATTTATTTCTGGTTTGGTCAAAAGGATATCAGACAAATATTCCATACAAAATTATTTCCAGCATTTGATTGGATTATCCATAAGATGCAATTTTGGTTTGGGCTCCTCATTTCACAACCTTGTAGACCCAAAGATGCATGAATTTTGACTTGATCCTGGCTAAAATTGGATTTGGGTTGCTCAGCTTTTTTCTGAGAACTAGAGTTGTTCAGTAACCAAAAGTCTAGAAGTAAGAACTAGATGAGTGAGTTTACAAGCGTGGTGGAGAATATATTATGGCAAAAACCCATACCATCAAATAGATCACCTGCTGCTAGTAAACTAAAATCCCAACACAATTGTGCAATCCGGCTCTGATCCATCATATTTCAATCTCAAACTGCAACATAACAATTTTCAGCATGAGTATAAGCCTGACATTGGACTTAGATAGAGCTTCAACATTTCTTGTACACTCTATGAAACCTTTCTGTTTTAGAATGATTTGGGACAATTAACACTTTTTGAAAAAAAAAATTTGCTAGGTTCAGGTCATACTTTTGCTGGTTGTAAGGGGTCAAAGATAAAGAATAAAGTACTAGATTGTTTTATCTGATCTTGCATTCTTGGGATGTAATAAGATGAAAATGTCTTAGTCACAGAACTTAAAGATGGGTATCAAGGCTATGTAACTTTTGAACAAAGTTTACATGTCTATCTCTATAAATAAATTCATAGTTTGTTCCCTGAACTTATTCTAGGCTTTCTATAGCAAATAAATTGCATGTGGGTCTCTTATTGCCTGTTTCTTGGAGAGCTTTGATACCCTCAGAAGTGTAAACCTTCTCTTTAACTTTTAAGAACCAATGAGACTTCTTTGGTTGAAAGTAGAAAAGAGAAGCAACCAACTTCAAGTTATGAAGAATAGTAATTGATCGAAAGTTGAATGTTTAGACCAAAGGCTGTAGATGTATTTACAGTAAAATATTACTACTATGAATCATAAAAGAATATTTACCTTAGAAAAGAAACAAACAACTAGCTATAGAATTTGTTACACATCTTCTCAATCTTTGTTGGTCGCAATCTCTTTCCCTGCTCTAATCAGATTGCCCTGCACCAGTTTCCTGTTTGGCTGTTTATTGCCTTGGATCTTTTTCCTTGATCTAGACAACATTTTTGTGTACTTAAAATTGGATTATAAGATTAGGATCAAAGTTTTCTGCCACAAACTGGAATGAGCCTTTTAGTCAAGCTAGAGAAATTATTGCTTGAAGAATATGCAGTGGTGTTGGTACTAAAATTATTATGAAACTTTGGACTTTTGACGGTTCAATAGGTTAACTTCTAAATGCTATACGAGTGCATTTTGCTTATTGTAGCCAGATTGACACTAGATTGAATTTATAATCTAGTGTTCAATTGGCTTCTGTATCTAGTGTTGTATTACTATAATCCTCAGTTTCATGCAGAAAAGATATTTCTTTTGTTTTTAGCTGTCTAACATTTTAATAGTTCATGAAACATGACTATATGACCAGAATTTCTAAACATGCTTTGTTCATGAAACCAGTTTCATGCAGAAAAGATAAGGGGTGTTTGGTTTGCCACTTTTGATACCATAATCGGAATAAAAAAATGAGAGAGACCTCATTTTGAATACCATAGAACCAGAATTAGGTCACCTTTCAATGATTTGTAGTGATAATGGCTCCCACTCCAGTTTTATGTCCCACTTTCATATCCTTCAATTGCTACTGACAATTTCAGCTCTAATTAACTACCAAAACCCATGCCGATTCTCATATTCAAATAAAACATGTCTTAAATTTCTGCTGTCTAACATTTTGGTAGTGCAGAAAACAGGGCTATGGGGCCAAAATTTATAAACATGCTTTGCTTTAGAAACTAACTAGTATTTGTTCCTATTTTGGTGCAGGGGAACTTGGTTCTTGGGGTGCATCTCGGACACGGCTATTGAGTGCCTTTTGCATTCATCAACTAACACTGGGAATTTCTCAAAAAGCGAGTTTCATCTTATTTGGAATTCAAGTTATTGTCTTATTTTCTATATAGTAGGCTATGGGGCAGGCCTAGTTTTCTAGGAGGTTCATTGTCGCAAAAAAATGGTTTAAAGTTTGGGGATGCCATTGATAAGTTGTGCCACAGCAATTATCTTTGACCATGTTAAACTTGCTTGTGGCGTTGTTTGTTCTATTTTTGCTATATTTATCCATTGATCTGCACATAAAATGATGATATTAGTAATTTTGTACAATTTGAAACCATAAACTGCCCATGATATTGAACAAAAAAAAAAAAAACTATTTTGTTAAGGTTTTTTATTTTATTTATTTATTTTTAAAATGGTATGTTGTGCAGATTGAGCACTTTAAAGTCAAGGAGTTAATATATTACAATTTGAAATTATATTTTGGTAGTAGTCAAGTACTCCCACGGATGCAATGATTCAATTTGTGTTGGTGGCTAAAGTATTTTTTTTAAGGGAAAATTGTACTTTTAATCATTCAATTATTGTATGTTATGTGAATTTAGTATTTAATTATTATTATTTTTTAAAAAAATCATTCTTTTATTGTTTTAAATATTGTTAATTTGGTCGTCCAATGACTTCAATGTTAAAATTCCATTTCTTTTAGGATTTTATTTGAAAATTCTTAGAAGTTTCACACCTCATTCTCAATTTCCCTCCCTTATGTTTAGGCTTAGTATCTTCAGGTTTATCTCTTTTTGGTCACCTCCTTACCCAAGTCAGCAATTTCTCCAAGCGACTTTGTGAATCTAGTTTCCATCTCGGAAATAGATTTTCCCATCAATCATTCGGAAGTTATCAAACTTCTTCATAGCGATAGTTAGCTTGTTCTCCTTCAACTTCGCATCACATTCTCTTATCTTCATGAGGATTTCCCAGATTTCCTTGGCAGTTTTGCATTTGCGAATTCTTGGAAAAATGGTACCATCAATTGCTTTGAATAGTAGATCATTGGCAATGTTGTCCAAGTTGTTTCTGGTTCTGTCCTTAGTTGTCAATGAATACTTGGGTTTTGGCACATACTCGGGTGCATCAACTCCTTGTGTTGCAACATTGACATTCACCATCATTATCAACACAAGACTATCAGTGATGATATCCCACACTTTTCATGAAGTGCGGATAGATGAGCCTGCATGCGCACTTTCTATGCATCAAATTTATTGAGATTGAACATCAAATTCTTAGATGTAGAATGCTCATATTCTTGAATAAAAATCTCGTGCAATACAAAAACAAATTTTTGTTTTGAAAGGAGATCACCCGGCAGTATACTCAAATAGTTTAACGATCAAGGCAACTGCTCTGATACCACTTGTTATGTTGGTTCCGATAGGGTTAAAGAACAAGTCTAGAGGGTGGGGGGAGGGGAGGGGGGGGGGGGGTGAATAGACTTGTTATCTTTTGAAAATCTTTTACGATTAGTAAAAGCAACCGAGAGGTAACTTTAATGTCTCGAGAGTTATGCGTCGAAAATTTGTTAACCCTTTTTAAGAATTGTTTGCATGTTTTTGGCTTAATCAAATTTTAGTTTGAGTGTTGGCAGTATGCAGTAAATAAAGATAAAGAGACAGAGAGTTTATAGTGGTTTAGCTAAACCAGCCTATTCCACCATTCTCCTTGAACACAGAGGAGGTTTGCACTATCCACAAGTACAAAACAGACCACTCAAGTCTTGAACACAAAGCCAACCTTGAGTGTCTAGGTTTTTCAACTCAACACGAGTTTACTCCGCCTCTTTCTACTCCCACGAGTAGAGATTACAAAGGTTGAAAAAATGAGTTTGTTCTTTCTCCAACTAGAGATCTTGGCTTTGAGAATCTTGATATTCACTGTTGAACAACACAAGTCTCTAAAATCTGGATGTAATATTGTTAAGCTCCGTCTCTCTCTCTCTCACTGGTCACTAGATGTGGAATCACTTGAAAACTTCAGCACTTATAAAATTTTTGAATTGACCAGCTCCTTTAATCTTAGAAGAGGGTATTTATAGGCAAGTGAAAAAGGTCCGTTGGATGGAAACCAATTTCAAACGGCTATTAACTAGTGTGTAGAGACCGGCGGGTAATCCAGATGGTAGGTGAGCGTGTTAGATTTTCCAGACGTTAAAGACTTAAATTGCGTTGAACATATCTTTTTGTTCTGCACAAGATGTCAAGGCTTTTTGGGAAATATCTTTCTTGGGATGTGTTCCTAGGACTCACTTTAACTTGGACACATTTGCTTAGTTTTTAAGGTTTCGAATTGTAGGTTAAGAGAATGTCTCGAACAGTTCTTGTACAAATGGTTAACTAGGTTAACTCTTCGAACCTTAAACCTCTCGGATACGAATGATTGACTTTACCATTCTTCCTTTTTTTACTTATCGAAATGTAGGTCCTTCCATCTCTCGACCTTTTGCAACCTTTTGGTGACGAATGGTTTACCTTACCACTCGTTTGCTAACACTTTGAAAGGTAGGCCCTTCCACCTCTCGGTCTTTGCACCCTTTCGGTCTTGTAGTCTTCTACTCTTCAAATCTTCAGTCTTCTAATCTTCTTATCTACATCTCGGATCATTCGAGAGATAACCACTCGGGTTACTCTTCGAATCATTTGTTGAGACTGACTTCTCGAGTTAACATTCGTATAAGTTACTTAGTTATAACTTCTCGAGGTACCATTCGAACTATTCGAATGTAGAGTAGAGAAAATCCCAAGTCTAGAAGATAAAATAAGTTTGGGGACTAAAAATTCCTAATCAATTTGTATGATCAAAATCTAAAACAATATGTTCATAACAAGGTCCAACACATATTTTCTCTGTGAAAGAAATATGCCCTTCTTGGAATGAGCAACTTCTATACCCAAAAAATATTTTAGTATTCCTAGATCCTTAATATGAAACTCAATTCCGAGGAACGACTTAAGAGCACCAATTCCGCATTCATCACTACCTGTGATTACGATATCATCCACATATACTATTAACAAAACACATCCATGGTCAGTACGTTTATAAAAGACAGTATGGTCACATGCATTTCTCTGCATTCCAAATTCCACAACTACACTACTAAACCTCCCAAACCACGCACGCGGGGATTGTCTTAGACTGTAAAAAAAAAAAATTCAACTTGCACACTCTCCCAATCTCCCCTTGAGCAACAAACCCTGGTGGTTGCTCCATATAAACTTCCATAAGTAAATCACCATGCAAAAAGACTTTTTTTTTTTTTTTTATTTACATCTAACAGGTAGTCAGTGATTACCAAAGATATAAATATGCATACCGAAGTTAATTTAGCCACCTAGGAAAAAGTCTCGGTATAATCTATACCATATATCTGTGCATACCCCTTAGCCACCGAGCGTGCATTGAGTATGGCAATAGAGCCATCAGGGTTCATCTTTACCATATAAACCTATTTGCACCCAATAGTGTTCTTACAGAATGGAATATCCACCAAATTCCAGGTTTATCTTGTGAGTCAAGAACTATTAGTGATCATGGTTCACTTACTACCACTCAATGCTAAGTGAATAAGGAACGGAGAAACAAACAACATTTCTCCATTTTTAATGAACAATAATGGAGAAGATGCAGTAAGATCATTTTCAAATTTTCATTTTCATTTGCTGATCTTTGGTTTCATTCCATACTCAGAATGCATATTCTTCCTTTTAAGGCACAAAACAAAAGTATAAATCACTCAAGACAATCATAAATCACACACTAACATATGTCAATAATTATAAACATGAGAGTTGACATAAACAAACAATTATTTTAGAATTTTTTATTTTATTTTTTCAGAATAAATACATTTTTTATTATATTACATACATTTTGTGAATCTGTGATACACGACATACACACAAAAATCCTTCAAAGATCATTTCTCCATTTTTTTAATGACCATTAATGATAAAAAATTCAACAAGATCATTTTCAAGTTTTCCGTATATATCATAGGAATAGTAAAAACAAACACCAACAACTACTTTGTAGATTCAGATATACATTAATTATCACAAAGAGGTGTAAAACATAAGCAAAAATGAGAAGTTTTTTTTTTTTTTTTTTTTTTTTTTTTTTTTTTATATTTTAAATAAGGGTGGTTAACAATGGCAGATTGAATGTTGGAGCAGCCCAACTGTGGAAGGTTTAGCCAAACAAAGTGCATGTAATGGTGAAGAGTAATATTAAAAAAAAAAAAACAGTTTGATGTTCCTTATAAACTATTAATTTTTATTTATTACCCCTACAAACAACAATCTCACTCAATGCTAAGAAATAAGGAATAGAGAAACAAACATCATTATTTCTCCATTTTTTTTTAATGAACAATAATGAAAAAACGCAGTAAGATCATTTTCAATTTTTCCTTACATACCATAGTAATAGTAAAAACAAACACAAACAACTACTTTGCAAATTCAGATGTACATTCGTTATCATAAAGATGTGTCAAACATAAGCAAAGATAAGAACATTTAAAAAAAAAAAAAACATGGGTGGTTAACAATGGCAGATTTAAAGATTGGGTCAAATCTTTGCATGTATCTGTAAAATTCACATTGAACACATTCTAGAATTACCAATATGTAAGGAATCAGTGTGCAGAAATCTCCAAATCCAGATGGAACAATTTTATATGCATAACCCAGATTCAACAACCACAAGAATATCAAAAAGCTCAATATCAAAAAATTAAAAAAATAGAGGAAATGGAATGAGAATGGATTAAAAAATACCAAGAGGAAACAAAGACACTTACCTTTATCAGCGGGAGAAACCAAAAACACTTTCCTGGAATGCAAGCTAAACACACCAATTTCGTGAATTTGAGACTTCTAAGGAAGAAGAAGATAATGAAAAGTAATATAATCACGTATTTTATACAAATAGATTAGAAGATTAAAAAAAAACAAGAAATTATTAGAACTTACAATTTGGTAGAGCTCACAACTATCAGAAATGATGGAACTGAAAACACTCCTTTGCATATACTGGTGTGACCGAAACTTTTGAGGAGGGTAATTAAACAGACCTTGTATAATTCAATCATCTCTGTGCCTACCATCGGAATGCCTATAAAATACATGGGAACTCAAACTAATCAGTAGACAATTGGTTGATTTGCTGGACAATGCAATGAGCTAATCCGAAAGCTAATAAACATTGGACAACAATCTAATTATCCAGACAAAATTACTATTACCCAGAGGATAATTTAATTGAGAAGGAAAG